TCAGAACGCAGAACACACTCACACACAACTACACACTCACTTGCAACTGAACGAACGAACGCACACACGTGCACACACACGCACACACACACATCCCCCCCCGGGGATCTCCACATCTGCGTAACGACGTGAAACACATTCTTCCACACAGTGTACTTGCAGTTAGCTGAAGGGAAAGAAAGACCTATATATAGCCCAGAGACGGCCACAAGTTAGCGGATAACAACTATAGCACATTAGCTTCAAGGGCGCAATGCGTGAGCCTTAAAAGCATGCAAATTCTCCCCAGTGTACCGTAGAAACACTGCCTTATTAATGTACGCCAGGAGCTACGGTTCACGGTCCGTTACGACATACTGGGGCACCAGCCTGCTTTCCCTGCTGCATACTTAACATCCAATTAGGGCGGTGAAGTACGGAGGAAAGACGCACGGCTCTGTTGAGGTGCAGAGCTAAAGGTGAAAGTTCAAGTTGACTTATGTTCGTAACTTCGTAAAACGAACGGCTTGTAGACACGTTACGTGACATGAGACACTAAATCCTGCGGGGTTGGTGTGGATCGCTGTCTGGTGTTGTGTCTTAAGGCCAGTAAGAGTCCCTCTGGTTTACAGAGCCAATAGCGTCTCAGGGGAGTGAAGGGGACACAGCTTAGGGGTTCGTCTCTCGGGTGGAACGTTGAATGATGTCTGGACTCTCTACGTTCACTGTTAGACAATTTGTCCTGGCAACATGACCAATAAATCAATCTGAGCAAGATTAGGTAATATAGTATATTTTAGTGAATAAGACTGAATAAGTAAATGTATTCCTACTCTGGCTTATCCTTTAAGCTGGTTTTCTCTACCTCAGGCTAATGATAGCGATGACTAAAATGCCCTCAGGCTTCTAATACATCTTTATGGTTTAGGTTTAGGACTGCAGAGGCAAGAGCATTGCAACAGTTTCTTAAAAAACAACAAATTATTTAGATGATATTAGGTCCCGGGGCCAGCCTGTTCATGTTCCGGGGCCAGCCTGTTCATGTTCCGGGGCCAGCCTGTTCATGTTCCGGGGCCAGCCTGTTCATGTTCCGGGGCCAGCCTGTTCATGTTCCGGGGCCAGCCTGTTCATGTTCCGGGGCCAGCCTGTTCATGTTCCGGGGCCAGCCTGTTCATGTTCCGGGGCCAGCCTGTTCAGGTTCCGGGGCCAGCCTGTTCATGTTCCGGGGCCAGCCTGTTCATGTTCCGGGGCCAGCCTGTTCATGTTCCGGGGCCAGCCTGTTTTCCTCTCTGTCCCGGGCTCTCCTCACTGCTCCGGGCACGAGGCCAGGGTTCACAGATGGCTGTGTGTGTGGAAGATGAAGCGCCTGTCTCTGTGTGAAATGAAATGTGATTGCCAGTTTAGTCCTATAGACTTGTTGAGGGAAAGATACTGGAACGTCCGTGTTCTGGTTCTTTTGTAGTTATACAGTCTCTCTCTATGTGGAACTGAGAGTGCATGACCTGCTCTAGATTGCGTGACTCAAGCCAACTTTGAACACAATCAAAGCACAGACCATTGAAGTTCAAATATGACATTTTCAACGACAGGTCTGATTAAAAGTGCATGACTCCGCAACTCATCTCTCTAACTGTCACATCTCAATCCACACTAAACACATCAAGCTTTAAGGCCTGTTGACCCCACACTTGGATAACATACAGACCCAGGATGTAGACTGGGTAGACTGGGCTTCCTAGCCAATTAGATCTAAGCATGGACAAACGTCCTGGTCAAAACAGGGATCCAAAGTACTGCGCCAAATCACTGACCTCCCAAATCATAACCGTGATCGTGATAATCCCCTGCCCGGAAGAACAATTACTGGGTAAGTGAATGAACAACATAAATCTCCAGGGAAGCTTTAATTCTCTTAAATGTCCCTATCTCTGGTAGTGCTCTAAGTCATCACACTGAGGACAGATAACCAGCATACGGTTATAAAACGCTCTAAAGGGACACTTATAGTGCACTCCCTCATCCCTCCCATATCTCCCACTTCATCCCTCCCTCCCTCCCTACCTCACCTTTCCCTTACCCCTCTCTCCCTCTCTCTCTCTCTCTCTCTCTCTCTCACTCCCCCTTCTTCCTCCCTCTCCCTCCCTCTCTCTCTCTCCCCCTCCCGTCTCCCTCTCCCTCCCTCTGTCCCTCCCCCTCCCTCTGTCCCTCCCCCTCCCTCTGTCCCTCCCCCTCCCTCCCTCTCCCTCTGTCCTTCCCCTCCCTCTGTCCCTCCCCCTCCCTCCCTCTCCCTCTCCCTCACCCTCCCTCTGTCCCTCCCCCTCCCTCCCTCTCCCTCTCCCTCACCCCCTCTCCCTCTCCCGGTCTCCCGCCTTCTGTCCCCGTGTTTAATGTAATTATAACTACATGACCGTCAGTAATCAGCCGTTCACACATTATTGACTGATGCAACACCACCACCCCCAGTTGAGTCCGTCAGATAGATGGAGGATTACTCTGTTACTCCAAACAGCTTTTCACACCATATCACTGTGACATGCTAATAAACACATGGATTCTGCATGTAGGCTGCTGCACACACACACACACACACACACATATCTACACAGAGGGCCCAGTTAACAGCCCAACGTCATCAAAAGCAGCAAACCTCAATATTTTGGCACTGTTATGAAAACGACAGATATTTTTTCCCAGGGAAACAATAATTTAGCACTGAGAAGTGGGAAATACCAGCACGTAAACAAAAAATAATAATGTGACTGCTTATTTGGGCATTGCATTTTCTTATCCGCTATCGTAACAGAGGAGGTATATTACTTTCAGGTTGTTGGGTAGTAATACTGAAATATCAGTATTATGAAGAAAGCAGGGCTTGTAATAATACAGTCGCAGTTAGATAGAGGTGCTTGAATGTAATGGAAATATGTAAGATGGTGGATTACATATAGAAGCAAAGGAAGGAGCTCTTTTGCACCCAGTAAACTGTAGGTGCTGCCTTTGATTTTGGATAGAAGTCTCCACAGAGAAAATTATTTAAATAATCAATCACCAGGCTTGAAAACAAATCAGGATAACCTTTCAGAAAGATCGATTTTTAGACCAAGAAATCCAAGAGCTAGTTCAGAAGTTTGAAATTTAAAAAAAGAAACAATCCAAAATAACTCTAGATTATAACCTGACTAACACGAGCCAGTTTGTGAATTCTCGTCATTCTATTCGTATTACGGTCAAACGATTATATAAGATGCTTGTGAAATAGTCTACTGGCATAATGGTGAGTTGGCATATTCTAAACAGTGGTCTTCTCTCAAAACAGTAGTAATATTGTCTGTATTGTGTTTCTTGTCACATTAAAGACATGCAGACATGCTCGGAGAGACATAAAAGTAGTACAACGGCTTCTAGTAAGTTCTAGTTGCCGTGTTTTTTTTCTAGTTGCCGTGGCTTTGTGAACCCAAATTGCAGAGGTCTTTGCTGTGTGGTGTGCTGATGGCTACAGCTGGAGCTCGCGTCTCATCTTGCCGTAGAGTGTGTCAATCTGGGACCAAAATAAACCCAGGACAGAGGAGATGACTCAGTCCAGAGGTGGATGGATGAAACATAACAACGGAGAAAGAGAAGGACGGAAGGTGAGAGGTCACGTGGTGAGCTAGTGTGACACGTGAGCTCTTGTTGTTCATTGTATACATTTGATCGCACGTTCATGGCAAAAAAAATTAGAAGGCGGCAGTAAAATATGCTGCAACGGAGTCAATAATTTCCCTCCGGGAGTATATCCGTTCTGGGTGTTCGCGTTTCCCACGGTCTTCGCTGCCAGCATTTCCATGTTGAGTATTTTTGTTTTTCCACACATGCTTCTTTGATGAATTTGATGTTGGAGAGCAAGTTGTAGAGCAAGCGCGAGCTCAGATGGTCCAGTGGTGAAAGCAGCTACCATCGGGCAGATACAGACACTGCAGGGGGGTTTGAGTTCGGCTCACTGGTCTTCCAGCAAAACGCTCCACTGTCCTTCCACAAAAACAGCATACAAATGGCCTGAAAGTCTATTATATATTTGAATAGATTATATTCTACGTTCTCATGATGGAGCGAAAGTTCGGGAGGTTGAACGTTTCCGCTCAGGTTGCAGGAACCCGATTAGATCATGAGAAACGTCTACATCCGAGCACCTTTGAGATTTCACAACAACTTCCACACAGGGCTCTCACGGCATTGAGTGATAACACACACACAAACAGACACACACACACACACAGGTGAGATTTGTTTGAAAGTGACCGATGTGTAGGTGGCACGTGTCAAACTGACAACCACACGAACACCCGGATCCACAGTTTCCCAGGAGAACGTCGCCCGGAGCCACACACACCTTCCACCAGTCTGTCATCTTCCCACAGTGCATCTTGGTGCCATCAACCCTCACTGTCTCAGGTAAACGGCACACATAGACATCTGTCCCTATGATGTAAAAGAAAAAGGGACACATCTGACCAGCCACAGTAGAGCACCTGTCGGTTTGAATCACGCTGGACAGCCTATATTGCCCTCGCACATCGATCAACCCTGGGCACCAAACACCCTTTCGCCGGTTTGTGGTTTGTCTCTCCTCTTGGACCACTGTCAGTAGGTGCTCACATCTGCTGACTGGGAGCACCCCCACACGCCATGCCGTTTCAGAGATGATCTGACCCAGTCGCCTGGCCAAAACAACTCGGACCTTGCCAAAGTCGCTCAGGTCTTCACTCCAGCCCATTTCTCCTGCGTCCAACAAAACGACAAAGAAAACGGATTGTTTGCCGACCATTTCATCTGCCCAGAGATTGACATGTTGTCAGCTGAAGCGAAGATGTAATTCCCTTTACCGAATAGTTGGTCATAATGTTTCCGCTCATCGGTGCAAGTTTAACCAACAGATTGACAGGATGTGTACGTCGCCATGGAAACCATTTTTTATTTTATTTAACCTTATTTTAACCAGGTAGGCCGATTGAGAACAGTTTCTCATTTGCAACGCAGACCTGGGGTGCAGCTGGGATTTGAACCCAGGATGTCATAGATACAGAGCATTGTCTCTACCACTGAGCTGCCAACTGCTCCACATGTAGACGATGCGCGTGCGAATGCGTGTAGGAGGGTCATAGGTCAAGAGTCATCGCAGGGGTATTGCTGTGGAGGAGCATAGAGGTTCACGCTATTTCTGTGGCGTTACAGAACACGTGGGTCCGTCTGAACCAGGTACCTGATGGACTCACGTGTTCTGTGGGTCCGTCTGAACCAGGTCCCTGATGGACTCACGTGTTCTGTGGGTCCGTCTGAACCAGGTCCCTGATGGACTTACGTGTTCTGTGGGTCCATCTGAACCAGGTCCCTGATGGACTTACGTGTTCTGTGGGTCCATCTGAACCAGGTCCCTGATGGACTTACGTGTTCTGTGGGTCCGTCTGAACCAGGTCCCTGATGGACTCACGTGTTCTGTGGGTCCATCTGAACCAGGTCCCTGATGGACTTACGTGTTCTGTGGGTCCATCTGAACCAGGTCCCTGATGGACTTACGTGTTCTGTGGGTCCGTCTGAACCAGGTCCCTGATGGACTTACGTGTTCTGTGGGTCCATCTGAACCAGGTCCCTGATGGACTTACGTGTTCTGTGGGTCCATCTGAACCAGGTCCCTGATGGACTTACGTGTTCTGTGGGTCCATCTGAACCAGGTCCCTGATGGACTTACGTGTTCTGTGGGTCCGTCTGAACCAGGTCCCTGATGGACTCACGTGTTCTGTGGGTCCATCTGAACCAGGTCCCTGATGGACTTACCAGGTCCCTGATGGACTTACGTGTTCTGTGGGTCCATCTGAACCAGGTCCCTGATGGACTTACGTGTTCTGTGGGTCCATCTGAACCAGGTCCCTGATGGACTTACGTGTTCTGTGGGTCCATCTGAACCAGGTCCCTGATGGACTTACGTGTTCTGTGGGTCCATCTGAACCAGGTCCCTGATGGACTTACGTGTTCTGTGGGTCCATCTGAACCAGGTCCCTGATGGACTTACGTGTTCTGTGGGTCCGTCTGAACCAGGTCCCTGATGGACTTACGTGTTCTGTGGGTCCGTCTGAACCAGGTCCCTGATGGACTTACGTGTTCTGTGGGTCCGTCTGAACCAGGTCCCTGATGGACTTACGTGTTCTGTGGGTCCGTCTGAACCAGGTCCCTGATGGACTTACGTGTTCTGTGGGTCCGTCTGAACCAGGTCCCTGATGGACTTACGTGTTCTGTGGGTCCGTCTGAACCAGGTCCCTGATGGACTCACGTGTTCTGTGGGTCCGTCTGAACCAGGTACCTGATGGACTCACGTGTTCTGTGGGTCCATCTGAACCAGGTCCCTGATGGACTTACGTGTTCTGTGGGTCCATCTGAACCAGGTCCCTGATGGACTTACGTGTTCTGTGGGTCCATCTGAACCAGGTCCCTGATGGACTTACGTGTTCTGTGGGTTCATCTGAACCAGGTCCCTGATGGACTTACGTGTTCTGTGGGTCCATCTGAACCAGGTCCCTGATGGACTCACGTGTTCTGTGGGTCCATCTGAACCAGGTCCCTGATCCAACCGGAATACACCCGTCTGATTGAACCTCAGATCGTCACACTCCGGCCGGGACACCGGCTACAGTTTGTTCATCTGCATGAGCGACACACACAAACACGCATCAACCAACTGAGATTTGGGACAGACGCCTTTTCTCCCATCCTGCCCGGTGTTGCTGAGATGGGAATATCCCAGCCGGCTTTCCCCTTCTCTACCCGTAGCACTGGGACGTCAGGAGATGGCTAAATGATGTCACTCCTCAGCTGACGGCCAGACATTAGAGCTGTGACACAATCATCATGTGGTGACGCGCGTTTGACGATACAGCGCAAGGCAGAGAAAGCGGAACGCCGGCTGCATTCCGATGACAACCAAACCATTCTATTTTCCATCATCGGAAGCTGTACCCCAGCTCACAGGGCCATTACATTTCCACACTGTGGAAAAGGAGGAAATAAGTTCCGTTGTATTTGAAGGCAGTCGTGAAGATCTCTGTACGTGGGCCTTCTTTCCTTCCCAAGTACGGTCCCGGGTTCTGCTCCGTTCTCCCAGAAGTTACAGATTCATCCAGACGAGGGTGGTACGACAAAGGAGAACCCTAAAAAAAAAGTATGTTGGCCTAATTTAGGGAATTACATTTTTCGCAGGCGCTCAAATCGGGTGAGAACTTAATTATTTTCATTAAAAGGATAAAGAATAAATATCTCCATAGCTAAGTCACTGGGTATTTTGGGGGTGTTAAAGAAATGTGTGATGTTATTCCAGAAATAAATCTAAATGTAAGGTTTCTGTTATACAGAATAGCTGACAGCTTGTCTTAAGATTGATGGTGTAAATGTATTTTATTTTTATCGGGTATTCAGTGCAGCCTTTGTCCCTACATTCTGGTTGCGCCGGTTCTGGTGAGGTAATTCTGGTTGGGAAGGTACTTGTTGCATGTTCTGATTGAGTCTGTTTTAGTTGGGCCAGTTCTGGTTTGAAAGAAGAAGGGCACAGGAAAAAGAAGGGTACAGGAAAAAGAAGGGTACAGGAAGAAGAAGGGTACAGGAAGAAGAAGGGTACAGGTAGAAGAAGGGTACAGGAAGAAGAAGGGTACAGGTAGAAGAAGGGTACAGGAAGAAGAAGGGTACAAGAAGAAGAAGGGTACAGGAAGAAAAGGGTACAGGAAGAAGAAGGGTTCAGGAAGAAGAAGGGTACAGGAAGAAGAAGGGTACAGGAAGAAGGGTACAGGAAGAAAAGGGTACAGGAAGAAGGGTACAGGAAGAAGAAGGGTACAGGAAGAAGGGTACACAGTCCTTAAAAAGAACATGGATTTTCTAATCCACCATTTGATTGCAACTCTAAAAACATAAATCCTGTTTTTATGACTATGTGAAAGACATTGTGAACCATGTGTGATTTCCGCATTCACACTGGTGGAGTCTCTGAAACCACTCACAGGTGCAGCTGTAGAAGAAATTCTCTATTTCAATAAGCAGTTCCATTTTTCTGTCACCGTGGTTTAACATTTTGGAATGGTTCTGATGATAAGAACAGATGATAATGTGAGAGAAAAACAACATCTCTTTGCAAAGAACGTGTGATCTGAGCAGACAGACTCACGGAGCAGTGGATTTGTATGGGCATATGGAAATACATCTGACATCACAGATCAAACTCATGTGCTTTTTCATGTACTTTTTACAAAACAGTGGCAACAGAAAGGACAAATAATTGGCAAAAGGTCTGGATTTTTACGACTGTAAAAACACCGGTTAAAGATTCCTGCGTTCTCAAGCTAATAGTTCTGTCATTATATGTAATCCATTGACAAATATATTCTATGAGCTGCTCAAATCTGTCTCTTTGTGTTTGTCTTCTCTTATTCTGGATTTATTTTGAAACCTGACACCCAGTGTCCAGTCACCCAGTGTCCTGTAACAAAGTGTCCTGTAACAAAGTGTCCAGTCACCCAGTGTCCAGTCACCCAGTGTCCAGTCACCCAGTGTCCTGTAACAAAGTGTCCAGTCACCCAGTGTCCAGTCACCCAGTGTCCAGTCACCCAGTGTCCTGTAACCCAGTGTCCATTCACCTAGTGTCCAGTCACCCAGTGTCCAGTCACCCAGTGTCCAGTCACCCAGTGTCCTGTCACCCAGTGTCCAGTCACCCAGTGTCCTGTAACCCAGTGTCCAGTCACCCAGTGTCCAGTCACCCAGTGTCCTGTAACCCAGTGTCCAGTCACCCAGTGTCCTGTAACCCAGTGTCCAGTCACCCAGTGTCCAGTCACCCAGTGTCCTGTAACCCAGTGTCCAGTCACCCAGTGTCCAGTCACCCAGTGTCCAGTCACCCAGTGTCCTGTAACAAAGTGTCCAGTCACCCAGTGTCCAGTCACCCAGTGTCCAGTCACCCAGTGTCCAGTCACCCAGTGTCCAGTCACCCAGTGTCCAGTCACCCAGTGTCCAGTCACCCAGTGTCCTGACACGCAGTGACCAGTGTTTTCGTTTGTGTGTGTGCAGTCGTTAATGAGTGTGTGCATTTTTTCATGTGTGTGTGTGTGTGTGTTCATTTGTGTGTGCATTTGTTCATGTATGTATGCATTGGGTTGTGTAAATCCAATCATGTCTGTCTGTGTTTGAGCTTTTTTTTGCGTGTTAATTAAGACCAGAACACGTGTCAACTCCACTGTATCTTTGAGGCACATCTGGCCAGTGTTCTGCTACAACTGTAACAGTGTCTAAATTCCAATTTCCCAGCATGCCCTTTGCTTTTAGTCAGGGTCAAGTCTCTGACGCTAATGTGTGTGCCTGGATGGTAAATGCTCGGCAAATAATGTGCTAGTAAGTGATGTAGAGCAGAGAAGGCTCAAGTAAATTGGAGGCCCCAGAGCAAAATTTGGTTTGGATGGGGTGGAGTAAATATGTTGCTGTATTTGAACACATTTTATGCAACTTTACACATTTTCTAATAGGCTATAGAGAAAGTGTTGTAATACTAAAGATGCAGTTTGTAATTTTTTTCATCCATATTTTTTGTCATTACCTTAGGTGGCCCATAGAGGAGTGTGTCTAGAGAGGAGATGGCCTAAAGAGGAGTGTCCAGAGATTAGAGTACCCAAATAGGAGATGGCCCAAAGAGGAGTGTCCAGAGATTAGAGTACCCAAATAGGAGATGGCCCAAAGAGGAGTGTCCAGAGATTAGAGTACCCAAATAGGAGATGGCCCAAAGAGGAGTGTCCAGAGATTAGAGTACCCAAATAGGAGATGGCCCAAAGAGGAGTGTCCAGAGATTAGAGTACCCAAATAGGAGATGGCCCAAAGAGGAGTGTCCAGAGATTAGAGTACCCAAATAGGAGATTGCCCAAAGAGGAGTGTCCAGAGATTAGAGTACCCAAATAGGAGATGGCCGAAAGAGGAGATTGCCCAAATAGGAGATGGCTCAAATAGGAGATGGCCCAGAGAGGACAGAGGACTGGAAGGGACACGATGCTTTGGCACAAACCAAGCAGTGAGTGTGAGCGGTGGTCAGGCAGGTCTCTGTG